CACAGTTTTGCTTTGATTATGGACAGTTTTTTCCCCCTTCCTTTAGAGCTGAACGTGTTCAGTTTCACCATACGAATGAAACGTAAACCAGTGCAATCACAGGGCTCATTAAAAACGTCCTCCCCTCTGTTGAACACACACTGTGAGGAAGCATCTACGAGACGGAACAAAAGCCACAACAAAAGGAGCGCTTGTTTGCGAGTAATACGCAATATTTTGTTCAAAACTAAATTTCAAACCGCATCATTTCTGTGAAGGAGGACAGATTTCACGTAAAAGCCTCATGTAAAAAGTCCACCATTTCGACAGCAGGAAAACTCCCCACACCATGTTCTCCGGCTATCAGTAGATGAGTCACTTTCTCATGACGCATGTTGGGTTTTAAATGGCTGCTGCTGGGAGAAACCCACAGGGATGCAAAGGCAGATTCACGCAATATTTAGTAATTAACTATAATTGCATGTTGCATAGATTAAACAAACAGAATCTGACATCATTTTCTCAGCAGGGTCTACCTGCTGTCTCATGACCTGCGAGGTGAGAAAAAACGTCCTCTAAGTGGCTGCAGACGCAGACAGTTCAGTGAGCGTGGAGGTGAAACATGTGCTGGCTCCAGCCCTGAGGCGTGGTTGGCACAATTAGATGCTCTCTCACCTCTATGGGCTGAAGTTCACAGGGGTCAGGGGTTATTTAGGGTCCGGCCTGCGTTGACTTCCTAATACCAAGCTATGGAAATAGACGGCTTCTATTCCAGGTACATAATGATCCTAAAACTGTAGAATAAGTATTTAATGTCAGTCATTTCTAAAGTAAAAGGAAACAAATAAACTCCTGCTGAAAAAACATGACTTTGACCACATTTTCGTCAGCAGATAAGGGGAGTTGAAATAAAAATTAAAAAAATAAAACTCCCAGCTCGCTGAACTGGATAACAATAAACCAGAAGTAAGTGTTGGTGGTTTGACATTTCATTTACTTCTGAAGTCATTATATTGATTCTGGAAAGACTCCAAGCCTGACTTTAAAGGGAAAGTTTGGCTTTTTTAAAGTAAGGTTCTGTAAAGTCAAAAGATCCTCGCTGCCCTATAGAGGTTTCAGTTAAAGGGTTTCATGTGTTTCCAGCAATCTAAAACAACCAGTTGAATGCACAGTTACTGTTGATGTTTTTTTGTCCATCCATATGTTGAAAGAAAAAGGAGGGAAATTATTCTTTACAGTCCCACTGTGGGCTGACACACTGATCAGCATCTGGGAGCATTCTTGGATTAAGGATCTGGTTTAAGGACCTATTTAGGACTATTATCAACCAAACAACTGTTGCGTTACTTTGCATTATAATTTCACTGGACAACCTGTTTAAATCTGCTTCATAAGTGAATCTGTTTTTACAGATAGATGATGAGAGAACAACTGCGGATCCTACAACTGTTCTCTCTGAAAGTGTAGATGGCGGAGGCCAACTACAAATTACTTTAACAACGATTTCTTTCTGACTTTGTTTAAAAAACATAACATTATAGCAATAAAGTCTGTTGGATTCTAGTCATACAGCTATAATTTAAGCTACAAGGGGCAACAATGGCGCCGGGTACAGGGGTTTGCTCTGCAAACAGAGGGTTGTCGGTTCGAGCCCCTGCTCCAGCTTTCAGTGTCATTGTCTTCTTGGGCAAGACACTTCACCTGCATTGTCTACTGATGGAGGTCAGTAGGACCAATGGCGCCAGTGTACAGCAGCCCCGCTTCTGTCAGTGTATGTAGTTTGCCGCCATCAGTGTGTGTGTGAATGCATGAATTTGTGAATGACTGAATGTAGTGTAAAGCGCTTTGGTCAAGTCTCCTGACTTGAAAAAGCTGTGTAAGTACGGGACATTTACCAGTTACAATGACATTCAAAAGAAGAGCATCTCAGGAAGATAAACAATGTCGAAGAATCTCACTTACCTGTTCTAGCTCTCTACTGTCTTGCTTTCAGTCCTTTAAAGATTTAAGTTATTTTGATGTATGATGGAAACAGAGTCAGAATAATCCAAGACAGGTGGGGGAAAATTTTAAATGGGTGTAAGTCAAAACGGGAACACGCATCCATACAAGAAATATCTTCAGAGTAAAATAAAAAAAAAAAGCTGCAGAGCAAAGTGATTGAAAAGTGATGTTTTTTTTTATTTGGGTAAATAAAGCTAAGAAAAAAAAAATCATGCTATATCAGTGGATTTAAAGACCCAGTCATCCAGCGGTTATAAACTGTACAGCTTTGTTAGTTTTGTTGTAGCATAAAAAGCATGAGCAGGGTAGACATCTACATTACTGTTTCTACAATCCTATGGAGATCCTGTGCACGTGTTTTCACAAACTACTGAGTTTTTAAAATCTCTGTTACTGAAACTAATGTTGAGTTGATCCCCTTTAAAACTCTTTGGGAATGGTGCAAAAGAATAAAAAGTCTGTGTTGTAAAAAAAAACAAAAAAAAAAACAAAGTTATCGATGATATCTACTGGCATAAGCATGAAAATATTCTGCTTTATTTGTTTTAAACTGCTCAAAACTACTAAAACAGGGAAGCATTAGTTCTTAGCTTTCAACAGTCCCCCACTTTAAAAACATCCATCTTCTAGTTTGAAACCTAAAACTATAAACTTTATAAAAATGAATGTAAGTTGATTTCTTCAAAAGGGGAAACATTTAGGAGAAACAAATTAAACAAACCGGTACCTCACAGACAGTTTAAAATGCAATTAGTCATAAGTCTACTCTGCCTGTAAGTGTCACTAAATATATGTCAGTATACTATTAATTTTATAACTTGCAAACACAAATTTTAATTACTAAAATTAGCTAAAATTATTAGCGCTAAAGTCTGCAGGAAGGAAAAGGGATTGATTTGATCAATTCTTCTTCTTCACCTCCTTTCAGACATATTCAATAAATTAATATATATGATTTAGTGTTTCTGTTAAATTTTATGTATCCCAGCATGTTAGATGACATGTTTTGGTCGAATTTGTTCATTCATTTATTCATTCCTTTATTTATTCAACCTCTGCTACTTTGCTTTAAGTTCTCAGCTGATATTGAAGTTGGAGATACCGACTGCTGAGGAACGAGTTGACACATATTGGACACGATAATGCCCACTTAGCCTTTGTTAAAGTTGGTAAATCATAAAAAAAAAAAATAAAATGTTCTTCCAAAATCCTTCAACAGAAGAGGCTTTAAATCTTCTACAAAAAGTTGCTAATTTTGTTTTTGTTCACAAACACTTTCAGTTTTACAACACCAAGATGCAAATTTAATTAAGGATTCAGCAAGCATGACGGACTCTTCTGGAACAAAGCTTCAGGATGCGGATATTTTGCTCCGCCCCCCATGTTTGGTATCCTTGGAAACAGCAAAATACCTTCACAATAACATATTGTACGTCTATTTCAGATGTTGGTGTCGCAATTTTAAATATTTGCAATTTTATATTTGACATGCAACGCAATCTATATATATATATATATATAATTATTATTAATAATTAATATTATGTTACCATGGCGGCGCTCCAAGGCAGCAGCCAGGAACAGCTCAATTTCAGAAATTTCTTTTTGTTTACACTTGTGTTCACAAAATGACAAAATAAATATGTCTAAATCTAAGTCTATAAATATCCTGTGCAATAAACCTGTATAATAATCCTGCTATCAAAAAATATATCATATATGGACGTACTGCATATTCTCTATATATCCCATGCACCTTTTCCCTCATTTGGCACCTTCTTCTTTTTCTTCTCTTATTTACTGATGTGATGAGTAAATTTCTCCCCTGTGAGATCAATAAAGTCAATCAATTAATCATTCGATCAATCAATAACATAAGCAGTTGTCACTTTTAAAACCCTTGTGGCTTTACGCACTGTTAGTTTTATAAACTGCCCCAAAAATAGTGGCTTTGTCATAGGAAGGATTATATATTGTACTCTTCAACTGATTCAAACCTAATAGAGAAATAAAAACTTTATGCAAGGCTAAACAAATTAGATTGTTTCTTTGTTTAAACTCAAATAAAGCAGACATAGAAGCAGCTGTGATAGTGGTTCCATTAAAATAATTTTCTTTTAAACTGGTGCTACTAGGCTGGTTGTAGAGCTGATAATTATGAAGCTATACTTGATTTATTTCAGATGTTTATTTTCAAGTGAAAAATCTGTTAAAGTTTTTCTTCAAGATGGTGATACTTTATATTGCATTGCCTTCAGAGAGTTGTTATTTGCTATTAAAAGTTTTTTTTTGACAGATTTGTATGAAGAGCAACAAATCTTTACGTGAGTTAAATTTATTATTTATAACATTTTTATCATGATATTAACTCCTCCTCTCCTGAGATGTATATAAGTCCACATTCCACAAGGCTCTTGAGAAATTTCATCCTTTTAAAAAGGCATTCAGAGTTAACTCAGATTGCAAGGTATGTCATTGAAATAACATTTCTGGGTGTTTTTTGTTTTCTTCCTCCTCCTTATAAATCCCAATCATCCTGCCAATCCATGGTTTCATTATACTGTCTGCTTTGTGGTTTGTCAGGTTGGATTTCACAGTCTGTGGTTATTCAAGCGTGACGGAATCAATAGCTGAAAAATATCAGCATGAATTCCCTGAATATTGAGGAGAACATTAATATGAAAGTCACAGAAATAAGTAATTTATCAATATTTGTGATGTGGATGACAATTAAACTCCATGATTATCACTGTTAAGGACTGAACCATGTGTTAGAAATATGAGGCCTGTGTGGCCATGAGGATGCCAACGAACCGAAGGTCCAGCCCCAAATCTGGAACCTATAAACCCCAGACATCCCTGCAACATTAGGCACAGTTCCTCTCATTGGCTAAGAGCATCACTTACCCCCTTTTCCCCCCATCACCCGCCCGACTAATGTATACTTCCTGCTTTCCTGGGTGTTTCAGGCCAAACCGCACCCTCAGAACTCAGCAGAGCCAATGAGGAGCACCAGCAGACCCAAGACTTAGCGTTTGGCTATAAAAAAGGCGGAGGTGGACCTGCCTGTCAGACGGTTTGTTGTTGCTCTTGCTGGTCGGCAGAAGGAGGGGAATGTAAAAGTGTGAAATTGAGGTAGAGCAGGACGCAGGACAGCGAGGCATCCAGGCGGATGGAGCGTCAGCAGCTGTGATTTTGTTTGACTGAGGAGAAAAGTGTGACCTGCTGTGAGCGTTAGCAAACTGTCACAAACTGTGAAGCGGACTTTGGACCCTGCGATGAGAGAAGAGGTGTCCTGCACCAACTCCCCTGAAGGAGGGCTGGGGGCCAGTGAAGAAGAGCTGGAGAGAGCATCGAAGAAGACCCTCCAACAGGCAAACCGAAAACGCTCCCCCTACCCAAAGAAGGACAGCCTCAGTCAGACGGAGGAGAGCAGCACAGGCAGCACCAACAGCCTCCTGCCAACCGGGCCGAAGAGGCTCAAGAAGAGCCCCTCCACCATCGTGTCGTTGGCCCCGACGTCTCTGGGCCCCAGGCCAGAGCCGCCCTTCGAGGAGCTCCACTCTCAGCGGGTAATCGCCAACGTGCGAGAACGCCAGCGGACCCAGTCCCTGAACGATGCCTTCGCTTCCCTACGCAAGATCATCCCGACACTACCCTCAGACAAGCTCAGCAAGATCCAGATCCTGAAGCTGGCCTCACGCTACATCGACTTCCTGTACCAGGTGCTGCAGAGCGACGAGATGGACGCCAAGCTGGCCAGCTGCAACTACCTGGCCCATGAGAGACTCAGCTACGCCTTCTCCGTCTGGAGGATGGAGGGGGCCTGGGCCATGTCCACCAGCCACTAGGACCCCTCTAAACTCATCTCATACACCCTCTCGTGTCGACACCTCCAAATCCCTCCCTCCTCTAAACCTCTGTCTGTGTTTGACCTCTGACCCTCTGACCCTTCTCCCTGCATGGTCTGAACTTAGCCTCTCCATCTAAAACCTTTGCATACATTTTATTTCCTGTGCTGCATAAGGATTCATTTATCAGCTGCTACCTCCCCGTCCTCTTCGCTCCTCTCCTGTTCCCTTCTCTTCCTTCTCTTTCCTTGAGTTTAGTCCAGAGCAGCGAGTCAAAACACTGCGGCTCCTCAGGTAAGAACAGCACAAACAAAAAGACAAGTATTACCAAAAAAACATAATAAATTATCATTATTTTTAAATGTTATTTTTAACAGTCTTAAAGTCTATTAGATAAATAAATAAACAAGTAAACTTATAAAGAAAATTTTTAATGATTTATTGTTTAAAAAAATTCATACTTCTGAGATTACTAATTTAATCAAAATTTTACACACTTGTTATGCATAAAAAAGGAATTCATTAAACAATTTTAAGAAAATCTTCCAGTTTCTTGGTTGATTTTTTTTTACATTTGTATTTCCATAAATGTTAAGCAACAAAAGACAATTTTTTCCCCCCGCAAAGTAGACGCTAAATATATTTCAAGTTACATTTATTACCTTAAATCGATGTTCTACCATTAAATTATTTCATATAAATAAAATTGGAACAACTTCAGCCCCCAAAATACAAAGATGTTACAAAAAAATATATATTTATATTATTTAAAATATATTTCAGTGAAATTATTATATTTGTCAAATGTTCCAATTTGAAAAATGCTTTATTAGGACTTTATTTTCATCTTTTGTGTACTTTTCTTGAGATGATAATGTATGTACGATAAACAAGAGGATTTAACATTTTTGGATTGAAAAACACGTAAAGTTTTTGTCGTTTATTTTTTTGTTTTACTTTAACATACATTATGAAATAATTGTTCATTCTTGGACCATTTTTAAAAGACATCGATTAGAATTAATATGCATCTGAAAATTGTGACAATTTTAGATAACACACAGTTTTTAAAAACAAAACTATTTGCAGTAAATTGAAAAGTGCATTTTTCTGTTACTTCAGTAAAACTCCTCCAGAATAATAAATATAAATCTAGCAGGAAAATACGTCAAATAAATAAACTTTCTGTTTTTATACTTCATAAAATGAGCTGAACTCATTCTGACTGTAAACAAAGATGCTAAATAAAGTATCAGGACTCAGAGTTAGCAGAACAGCCTCCTGATTCTCAGCGTTTGTGATCCTAAAAATGAACTTTCATCTGAATCGTGATCTAACCTCTGGCGCTCCGGTGTTTGACAGACCTCAGATAAATTTAAACAAATGTTTTCCTTAAACAATCTCCAGGGTCTGCTAACAGACACCAGATTCCCGTACAGGTACAGCATGAAAACAAGAAAGGGAGAGTGAAAAGAAAAAAAAAAAAAAAAAAGCAGAAGCACATGAGTCCCTCTCCCCCTGAAGCCTTGCCCTCTTTCCTGGGGATCCTGTATCGTGCAATCAGGCCTCGCCGGAGCCCAGACAAGCAGGAACCTTTAGATTGGAACCAGTTGTGAGGTATTAGGGAAGGTGTGCACACCAGGGTGAGGGTCAGGCTGTGCATGTGTGTGTGTTTCGCTGTGTTAGGAGCTGTAATTGGCATTGCAGGAATCATTGTCTCTGTACAGGTAAACAGGAATACAGTCATAGATGTTTGTTTCTTGGATTTTTCGGTCTCCTTTACTCCCCTTCCCCCATTTTTGTTTTGTTTTGGAAAAATTGCACAAAAGCAAAGGAGTAAAAAGCAACAAAAAAAAGTAACGAGAAAGATTTTCCATAAAATGCAGGGCAAAACGACAGTCCAAGGTGACATGTTTCAAACAGGTGCATGAGAACCACTGCAACATGCAAACAAATGATCCAGAAGAACCAGAGAACTGCGAGTTCCTCATACGACATCTACGAATAACGCTATCCAGACCTGAGCGTGCAGCTGCGGGCCATGTGCTCGCTGCAGGTGTTCCACTCTGAATTATATCATTAAACCTTCAGCGGCCTCCGCAGCAGACAGACACAACGGGTCTCATTTAAACATACAGACCAAGGGAGCCTGGCTTTAAGCAAGTGTCCTTGAACGCACCTCCATCCACTCTGCATCTTATTACCATCGTTATGGGGACTGCTACAGAAAGAAACCTGGCTGCAGCTTAGAAAAAGACGATTTATGCTGGTTTTGGAAAAATGAATTCAAGTCAATTTAATTTATTATTACAGCGCCAATTCACAACACATGTCCTTTCAAGGCCCTCTACAGAGACCATACTGTCAGTTAATTTTCAATTTGTCATTGATCTTGAGGAATCTCTCACACCAATCATGCTTGTAGTGACAGTGGAGAGGAAAAACTCCCTTTTAACAGGAAAAAACCTCCAGCAGAACCAGGCCCAGTGTGAGCGGCCATCTGCTGAGGCCGACTGGGGTTCAAGGAGACAGAAGCAGAGATACAGAAAGAAGCATAGATACCAAACATTAAATTACAAAGCTGCTGCTAAATCTTTCTGGAATCTGGTATCTGAAGTTGATATAAAATACAATATATGTTGCATTTATCACAAGAGCAATTACAAAGAACATTTTAAAAGTTATTAACATTACAATAGCAATAAACAAGTCACTACCTCCAGTTAGTCAAAAACTCCTTTAAAAATAAAACAAATCCACGTAGGGTTCAAATGTGTTAATATTGTAGGATGTATATGGGGTACCAGCAGAGGCAAAAAAAAAAATATTAAAACAACACAAATATAAATTCTAACCACAGTTTCTGGGGTTGCAAACATAATCAATTATAGTTGTTATTACATTAAAAAGGACTATTAATAATGTTTGTCGAAGGTGACGATTAACAATAAGATAAAAAAGCGCCAGTCATCTGAATCCAACATTAATGTGATGAAGAGCAGGTCAAGACACATAATATGTTTATTTTTTTTTAGGATCATTTGTTATTTTCGTCAAAAATTGGATTTGAAAAACTACTCTTGGAAATTTAGGATGGGTGTAAACATCAGTTTTTACACTTCAATCAAATACGTTCCTATAAGGAGAAAAATCTGAGGACAACATTTTTTTAAGCTCTATTTTTTTTTTGGACTTAATCTCTAAAATTGAGATATAATTTGTGGAATTTCTGAAGACGCTTTAATATTTTCTAGAAGTTAAAAACATGAAGTGTTTTAATGCACAGTTATCCTTGCCACCTCAAATCGCACTCATAGACTATAAACCAGCTTATTACATAGTGGCTCAGCTGCTTCTTCCACACCATGTTTTTTTATTTGATTTAATTTGCTCATAACACAAACAGTGTCCTCTATATTTTACACAGCAACAGAAGCGTGCACTCTCCCAGCCACAGCTTGCACCGTGTTTTAATGAGCACCGTTTTAGAACATGTGGATATTTGGCTCTGCGTGAGAAGATTGTTCTGTGGAAGTCGAGGAAAACAAAACTCTCTCTATTGTTTATACTATAATCACAAAGCTTCTAACTGTTCCTTCCTCTGCAGGAACCCCTGGCTCTGCTGCACCCATGTGGGTGTGTGTGAGTGTTTTATACTTTTTGGAGTGATCGGCAGTTGGATGCACTTCTGTGCATATCAGATCTCTGGCCTCCACTGGCCGGCTGATCTGGGACCAGATGTAAAGCTCTCTGCGGCTCATCTGAAGTTTTTTTTGTTTTCGTTTAAAGCCCGAGTCTAAAAGTCGTGGCTTCTGATTGTCATCTTTATTTTTATGGAGAGCTGAGTGGAGGTTGAGGGGTTTGTGTTGTCTGTGTGCCTGTTAGTGTTTGTGCATTTATGGCTGGATGTGTGTGTGTTTGTATACTAGAAAGCTGCAAGGGTAGAGGACAATGTTGGTGACAAAAGGACACATGACTGAGGGCCAAAATGTTACAAACGTTGAACTTAGCGGTGCAAGTTACATTAAATGATAGAAAAAAATTAAGTATGTAATGTGCATTGAAATAGTTCAACTAAACCTCTTATGCGCCCTTGTTGCGGTTCCCCAAATCAAGTGTTAAAGCACAAAAAAGTTAGAGAGCAGCACAGAATTTTTTGGTTTCTAAAATAATTGGACAGTTTGTCTGTGCAGATGTTTCAAGGCCTCAGCACTGTTTAATCCTAACTTATCTTTATCTCTTTTGCAGCATCCTCTACATCCTGGACTTCCTCTGCACCTTCGAAAGATTTCTTTTGCATCTTTCTGTGGCTTCTTCTTCTTCTTCCTCTTCTTCTTTTTTTTTTTTTTTTTCCTGGACATCCGTCATGACAGCAAGACGCAGAGACCGTTGCTCAACCAAGTGGTTCTGAGACTCAAGTGCGGAGATGTGACACAATGTACTGCCGAACATTTGAAGTAAAGAAAATATAACTATATATATATAAATACATTAAAAAACAAACAGCTGGCCTGAGGTGACAATGAAACAAAACGGCTGCTGGATGGAGCGCCTTCGATTACACCTGGATGATAACCGTCGTCCCATTTTCCCCCTTGACTCTTCTCCATTCGGATGACTCACAGCCTGACAATCATTAGGATGACTAATGATAATGGCACAGTGATGGTTAGAGGGCGGTCACAGCCAATTTATGTTTACAGCTAAAATGCTAATAAGCTAATCGCTTTGGCTGTAAAGGCGGGAATCTGGTGCAGACCTTGCTTGTTGCTTTCCTGCAGTGACTGGATCGCTCTTATGGTTATTTTTCAAGCATATCTGCTCCTACTTTTGGTGTTTTTACACTGTTTTACCTAAACCCTGCTTACTGCTTCATTCGGTTTCCAGCCACTGATCAGCAAACTGTTTATTTCATTAGTAGTTTGTCTGTCGTTGGTGAATGCTGCAGCTTTAAAATATCTCTGCGAAGCTTAATGAAATAATATCGCGGAGGAGAATTTGTCAGAAAGCGTGCCAAAGTGTTGATGATGTGATTACATGCAGACTAGAGCAGATTCATTTGTAACTGTTGGACCAAATGCTTTGATCATGTTGCTTTCGTACTGTTTTTTTTTTTTTTTTGTTCTTCTTATCATTTTTGTGAACAATAAAATTTTACTCAGCGCTGTACATACGTACTTCCCTTGTGTAACCTGTTTCTTTAGATTCATACATTACTTCAAAAAGTTTTTCCCCCCTCATCTGTTAAATTCAAATTGTAAAAATTAACGTCAAAGGAATTATTTCAGCTCCTTTCTTTATGTCAATTTGTATCATATTAAACAGTAATGAAACACACATCCATGTACAGAATGGGTTTTGCAACTGATATAAATTTCTCACTAAATGGAGATTTGTCTGATGCACTGCTGAGGTGTTAAAGAAGCCCAGGTCGCTTTATCAGTGGCATTCAGCTTGTCTGTATGTTGGTTGGATAAGTCTCCAATTCCTCTTGACAATATCACATGTATGAGAAGTGGCTTATTTAAGAAACTTAATGTAAAATTAATTTGTCCCATGTAGTTAATAAGACTGGGAAGGGCAGACCTTGAAGCACTGACTCCAGATTAATTCAACACCGCATTAATCTTGACTGAGCTTTGCCTTCACAATCCTTCCAACTTTTTTCCTTCCACTGAATTTTCCATTAATATACTTTCCATAGCCTCTTTGTAGACAGCACCAGTGACTCTCTACTGGATGACTGCCAAATCAGCTGCCTTCCCAATGGTTGTGTAGGTTTTAACTTAACAAGAACAAGTTTTCTATTGATCATATGGAATATTCAAGCTAACAGAATATTAGATTTAGGTTTCCTTTATTCTTAGTTACAATCATCATAATTAGTGGAAGTAAATGGCCTGAAATACAGCCTCCTGTGTGTAATAAATCTGTATAAGTTACAGAATTACTAAAAATGTCAGAGTTCCTCCAGGGAGATAGATGTTTAGACAAAAAATACATCCAAATTCATTCAAATGTATATAAGTTATTTTTTTTTATTAAAGATAGAAAACAAAATAGAAACATCAAAAAAGCAGAAAAAGAGAATAAAATCATAAGACACTATTTACACTGTACAAAAATAAAGTCAAACAGTTATCAATAAGCTGGACCCACAGTTTTCTTTAAGCTCTACGTCATTAAGGCAACCTTCACACAGGTTAGTCAGCATCATAACTATGTTGATCATTTGGTCTTAAGGCTTTACTTCTGAGATCAAATACAAAATATAAACTTCATATTCATTAAGACAAAATTCTGTTAGACATAAGACATGTCACGTTTTTTCCACTGAAAATTCCCCCGGAACAGCAGAAAGATGCTGAACACGGGGCCGCTCTGACCCGTCATGTGGTGTACACGTTTTTCATTACATCAACAAGTACTGGACAGGTGCTGAGCTGCATGTTCAATGTCACACACAGGAAAGAGCTAAACAGAAAAAGAAACAAACACACTGTTTTTAGCACCGTCTTAACTGCATTAGACACGCACAGAGCACTTCAAAGAAATCTTCAAATCTCAAAGCATAAATACGCGTAATGTCAAATGGATTTGTTTATGTATCTGCTTTTTTTGGACTGTTTGGAAAGAGAAAAGAAACATTCAAGAAGACTTTGAAGTGCTTTTTTCTTTTGGACATGCCAGTCTATGGCGAGCACATTTTTCTCATAAACTTTGGTTGCGGTTAACCTGTGTCCAATCGTGTGCGTATCATCGACTATATGATCAACTACCTCGGGTATTATTGCTCCATCCTAGCCGACAAAAGTCTTCGTTTGGTCGACGCTGATACTGACAGTAAACAGACTGAGTAAATTACAGATGAAAACACGCATCATATTGTCCACATTAAAATACAACATAACCAAAAAAGACACAGCAGGAATGCTTCTCCACAGGGAAAGAAACACTGGTCCACTTTACAACATTTACAAAATCAAAACTGTACTCTCTGAGGGGGGGGGGGGGTAAGTGCACTTTGTCTTTGTGTGGAAAGTCTTGAAGTCACATTTAAAACACCCTGGATGTGTCTTTTTTTTTTTTGCATACAAGATATTTACATAATGTTTGTCCAAAGACCAAACACATTCTCACCTTTAGACATTAAACTAATTTAAATTATGCCTGTTTGAGGTCCATTAGGATTACTTCAACTATTGTATTTGGAAAATGCAAGAACAATATTGTTTTCTATGTTGTTTTTTTACGCTTTGAGCTCAGAAGTTTAAGTGCTTTGCCTTAGTATTGGAACATCCCTTTAAGCTTACAGGTAAAATATTGCCCCTGACAGCAGTTTGCTGGGAATTTGGCCCATTCCTCCCTATGGGGTTGCAGTAAATGGGTCCTGTTTGTGCATCTCACTAACTTTCTATTTGAGATCAGTGGTTTGTGTTGGTTTCTCCAACAACACTGATGTTATTTCTGCTACAACGCTTGTGACAAAGCTTTAGCTTTCTCTAGGATATCTTGACAAGTTGTTTTAGTATTTTATTGAATTAACTTTTCCATATGGTACACCTGTTCCTACCAGGAGTTTCACAGTACAATTTGCTCTCAGGTGGCCAGGCTTTAATGACAGAGGCCGTTATAGCCAAGCACATTAATTTTACCACCATCAGACCACAGGGTATGTCTCCACTAATCCAGATGTTTGTCCCTGTGTGCATTGTTGCTTCTTTCTCACTCAATGGCCTTTAAGGCTTTCCAAGCACAAGACTTGTTTCATAAGTAACACATTTCAGCAGCTTCAACCAGCTTTGTCACAAGCAGAAAAGGAGTTTATCTCTGTGATACGGAAACCTGAATAGTCTGACAGTTAGACATCCCATTGATGTTAGTTTATACTGGCATGTATTTTTTAAATATATGAAAGTTGCATTGCCAGGCATCTGGAAATTGTAACCAAGGGTGAATCTGTCTGGTGGACATCAACAGTTCCCTATATGAGCTTTCAGCTTAATTGAATTTTCCATGTTGCCCTGTGCAACAACATGGAAAAAGCTCAGATTTTTTTTTTTTTATGTGATTTAACCAATCAAAAAATAGAACACCTTCATCCCAGCTTACCTAAAGTAGGTAATGGCATCCTAATGTGTGTATTTATTCTGATATTGAGAAAATATGGCTAATTTCTAGTAACTTTAAAAACTTGAAACAGGATATTTTTAAGTTGATTCAATGTTAGAAGACGAGTAAAAAGTGTTTATGTGTCTCTAAAAGCAGTGCATGTAAAACTTTAGTTTCAAAAGGCACTGGAGCTTCGTTCAAATGCACGAATGCCTTCCATAATATCGACGCCCCAGCTTGTTTAAGGTATTAGCTTTAAACTGGGACTAATGCCACGAGTATGGCACTGTGTCTGCATATTTAAGATGTACTTTTATAAAAGGACGATGAGTCTTCTTTTATCTGTCAGAGGGTGATAACACTAACTGCAGCTTTTTAAACCCCTGCTGCATGTGCTCTGCTGACAGGCCAAGAAAGAAAGAAAGAAAAGATCTCAGAAAATATGTGGACACAGAAAACAATATGAAACATATGTATCTCAGACTCCACTGTAGCTTCACCCTGGATCTCTTTAAAGAAAAAAAAATGCATGCTGACATCCACAGAAATGTGTGCCATATGTCAAATAAACGAATATTCTAATGAAGTAAAAAGATGAACAAACAAAAAAAATGCTTGATTGTGGTCACGCTTCACATGCTTCTTGTCCAGTCGGAGAGCAATCAGAGAGAGACCGATCAGATTAAAACCAATCTTTTTTTTTCTTCTTGTCCTTCATTTGATCTATGTCACGTGCAGAAAAGTGATCGTGGTTCACCTGTCATCCTCTTCTCCGGCGACACGACTTATTTAAAATAAGAGTCTCAGTGGTCTGGGCAGATTTCGACGCAATCAGAAACGGTTTCTCATCTCTGCTCATGCTACATCCTGTCACACCAGGTCTTCATTACTCAGAGTTTGGGCATATTTGAAACTTCTTTTATTGTTTAGCCATTGATGTCACTTTTTGGGAAAAGGCTGCAGAGATCTTCTGAGGACATGAATGTCCACAACACTGCTCCTCTGTTTGAATCAGAGTGGTCACATTGCAGACAGTAGTAGTGCAGGTTTGCACGTTCCAGTGATGATCAAGATGCATACACATATGTATATATATGTATATATATATATATGTTTTTTTCTTCACATTCTTTCAAGCGGTTTCCTTGAAAAAAGAAAAAAAAAAGAAAAAGGTGTTACACATAGATTACAAAACCATGTTTGTAAATAATTTGAGTAACATAGAAATATCATAAATAGGTGAGGATATTCAGGTGTATCAGAGGCAATATGCAAGAAAATATGCAAAGGAAACCACACAGTTACAAACAAGACAAAAAAAAAAAATCTGAAAAGAACGATAACAGAAAAGGCAGAATAAACTGTGCAGTACAGAAAAGTCCACATACAGGAAATACTTTCCAGTTATTAACACTCAGATTACATTAAAAATATTCTGGGTAAAAAACAAACAGCAGCCCATTTACAGAAAACAATAAAATGACTGTGTAAATTATAGCATAGACGTAAAAAAAAATAACACAAATACAACGGTGTAACTAGCAGGTAAAATGTTTTGTTTTTCTTTCCTATTTTTACTTCCAAATATCCAAATTTACAATATCGATTGCTCCTTTCTTTTTGCCACAAATGTTCATGAATTTGTAAGCATCAAGCTGTGGTAGGACGACAGTGTCCTAAAACTGGATTTATGTATTTTTTTTTAAACAAGGACAAAATGATGGGTTGACATCTGTTGAGCCCAGAGGGCTTTAGGAGTAATTTATATCCCAGAATATGCAACTAATTAAATAAGGAATCTCTCCACAGTAACCAGGTCTTAATGTAGAGATAACATTGAGATTTTCTTAAGTTCAACCAACATTGCAGACGTATAAAAGTCTGATTTATTTGTGATTAAACAAGGTTCATCCTATTTTTTAGGCCTTTGATGCCAGCGGGAGTGGCATGCAGGTAGTGTACTTTTTAAAGACTAGATCTTTACCCTAACTGGGATATTTCCAAAGCCAACAAGCCCCTTTAGATACAGAGGTTTAAAGCTCAATGGCATACAACTGCCAATCTGAAGCTCTGTTCAGCCTTCTTATTACCTGCTCAGAGTTTTGCTCTCTCTCAGAGCCTTTTAACGATTTAATTTCTGTGTTTTCAGGAAATTTATCTTAAATATCCAACTATCTGACTGCTGTTTCGAAAAATAAAAATTCTTATATTTAACCCATTTAGATCAGCAGTTGAATAATAAGTGTAAAACTAATAATGATTATGTTTTTTTGTGTTTTTGTACCTTTCTGAGGTGAGGGAGCCCATTGACAGAGAGGCGATGGCAGTGACTGCCTCGCTGTCTGAGTCTCTCCTGAGCCGGTGTCTCTGTGCCTGCAGGTAGGACATATCCACTGTGGCGGCTGAATCCCTCACGCTTTGCCAGAACTTACCTGAGAGGGAAGGAAAAAATGAGAAGAGAAAAGAAACAAGAGAGGAAAAAAAGATGAATGGCCTTAGCCTTGGATTGGTTCCTGTTTTCATCCTAACTGCCCCTTGAGGGGACGCGCCTGAACTACCCGAAAGTACAGCTTGGTGTTTGATCTACTAGATGTAGATGTTTGATGCGAATATAAGCAAAGACTGTGGAATAAACAGCCCCTGGTCCAAATATCCGTTTTGATAATTTCAGAAATGTAAACCTAGATTCAGCCTGTTCTCTCAGGGCTCACACAATGTCACACAATGGGGGGAAAATACAGGATAACAAAAATATCAGTGACTGTAACTTTGTTCCTCTATAAGTGCGTGTGTTCTGGCTCAGCATTAACCTACATATACTTCACCCCAGGCCTGAATTATGGGCTTAACATTCCTGTGGCTATTCAAATATTTTTAATTAATCTAATTTGGTTGGGATAACATTTGTGTGCAATCAGGAGGGGATGTTGCGAAGGTCGTGTGCCAGAGAAGTGTTTGAAGATAATTGGAGCCAGGGTAGCTGTGTGCGAGTGTGTGTGTGTGTTGTGTGGGACTTTTGGAGGGATGGAAGACAGGGCTGGAAGGGAGGAGAGGTGATCAGAGAGCAGAAGCTAACAGCACGAAAAGTGTTAAATAGAGTGAAAAAATGACTTTTTTTAGGGGGTTATTGAGAACAGAGCTAAAGAAATGCTGGTGGGTCAAAAGTAGACAGGAAAACAATAAACCATAAAAATAGGATATGATTTATTCCTCTATATGGAGAGTGACTTAAATCCTCATTTCTATAAGGTGTTTATAGGGTCCATATTTAATGATTTACTAGCAAATAATAAAAACAGAAACCTCATTCATCATCAAAGACAACAAAGAATATGGCCAGAATAAATCCTCTTCTGAAAAATATCTGTTGATCCGAGCCTTTAAATGCCCTTCCAGCCGACAGAGAGAAATTTATCTTCAGCTCCTATTTATTGTGACAGTTGTTGCACAAATTATCTGCAAGACTTGGAGTTTCTTTGTTTGTGTGCCCCAGACTCATTACAACAGAATTTACTCAATTAGTGCTGCAAACTCTGCAGCTGGGCCTTACAAAAGTATTCCTGAACTTATTTTTAAAATGTGTCACTTTGCGACCACAGACTTCCATTTAGTGATGTTTGGATCACGTGTGAGAAACCAGCTGAAGATGAAGGATATGTGACTTGAATACTTTGTAAAGGAGGAGAGAAAATATATTCATCCCTTCAGAAATCAATGTGTTGCTGCAATTACATCTGAAATTGTTGGTGGGTGTTTCTCTTTCAGACTGGAATATTTTCATGCGAAGGTTTTAATGATACTTCTTTTTAATATTGTATTAGAAGAGAATCTCTGAGCAGCAATATTAGTTGGGAGATTCTTTTTGTCTTAGAGATTCATCTTTATTGAATAAAGGATTAAATTGAGCTTTAAGAGATGTCCGAATTAATGTTACTAAATTAAAGTAGTTGACTGTTTTTCTATAGAAATGTTATTCTTTGCAATAAACCTGATGCTTTCTAATTGTGCTTTAAGAGATGTCGAAATTCATGTTATTAAATTAAAGTAGAATACGTTTTGCTTTAGTTGACCGTTTTTCTATAGAAATGTTATTCTTTGCAGTAAACCTGATGTTTCCTCACCCTGAATCTGCACGATTCTCTGCAGAGAGCGCACTGCGTTCTCACAGGGCTTTTGATCCAAGAGTGACTGGGACAGAGGCTCCACCTGAGACACGGCACACAGTTAGCGATCTGATGACGGGACACGCTGTGCTCATCCAGGGAATGAGAGATGACACATCTTACCTCCATACCGAGCAAGGCGCTGACACAGGCTTCAGAAGCATCGCAGATGGCTTTGAGGTTGTGGCCCCCCTCTAGAGCGAGGACGACCCTGCCCCCCGCCAGTGACATCAGCTGACGTGTCAAAAATCCAAAAACTGGTGAAGATCAAAAAGAGAAACACCGATTGGTTAAAAAATTACATAAAAGCTTCACATTTTGGGACAAGCTGGTGATTTTAGTTCTCATGTCATGATTATGTCAACATAATAGATGTGTGTCAGAAGGGATTGATGAGATGGTTGGATTAAAATGTTTACATAACCTCAGACTTATCTACAGATGGGAATCAGAATGTTAGCTGCTTGTGAGTAAGAGTCTGGCTGCTCCTTACGCTTGGCTGTGACCGTGTAACCTCCCAATGAGGGTGGGTGCCCCTCGACAGCATCGAAGCCAGCGGAGACCAGGACCACATCAGGGGAAAACTCGTGGGCGATGGGCATCACCACAGCCCTGAGGACAAACAGAGGGCTGTTAACCAAACTCTGCATGTTAGACAGCTCTGATTCTGAGGGAAATCTGAGCTCATGTTCACCGTTTCAACAGGTGCTCAGCAGAGCTATTAGGAGTAAATAAAATATAACGATGTGTATAATGGAGATGTCCTGATGTGACTGGAATCATTTCAGAGCGGAAAAAAAACCCAAACAAGATCTCAGATGCCAGAACTGCAAAAATAAAAACATAGGGTGGTAGAAGTGAATAATTTCCAATAACATCCTTTCAGTGAAGGACTTTTCTGGACTGTTAACTGCATGAATTCACAGAACAGAACACACTCTTCCATTCCAAGATGATGAAAAGAAAAATTATCAAAGGCAAAGCTTCAAGTGCTTGATCTCAGTTTGTGATCAACTGCTGGAAGACAGCCAAGTCTAAGAGGTGGAGCGCCTCCCAGGTGTGAAAGTGTGCAACTGTTCCAATGCTGAGCAGAGCTGTGATGATATTATGGAGCCAGAAAAACAAAGATCTGACTTTAGACAGGTGTCAAACATTAGTGACAAATGCTCTGCGTCTTTCTGAGATATTGTGCACTCTACTGAGCTGATGGCATTTTCGAGGCTTCATATTCTCCCTCTTCCTTCTTCTCTTCTCCCACTGCCAGTTATTTAGCAAGAGCGAATGGCCCATGCCGCGTTTGATTCCTTCTTATTCGCTCTTTTTCTCTCAGCGGCAGTTCAAAGGCATTTGTGTGCGTCTGGTTCCTATTAGGAGCTCGTCCCTCTTCTCACGTCACTGACAGCCAGCCATCTGGGATCCATTGGGCCTAATTACGCCGCCTTTGGATTCCCTAACAATGCACCCCCTGCTTCTTCTCCTCTCTTCAGCTGTGTTCTCCTTCCCTCCATAAGCTCATTGTTTGTCAGTTACCGGTTACAAATGAAAGTTGCCTGTGCTACCTGCGATTGGACGCACCTTCCTGTAGATTCTGACCATTTTTAATAACGTGTAACGTCATGGTTTCAGTGATGATGAGCTCTCTGCTGATTGCAAAGGAGTCCCAACCACAGTATTTCTTGCACTAATACACACCCCAAAACAGACGCACATCAACAGCAAAGTTTTTTTTTTTTCCATCTAAAAGAGACACACACAGTCTAAAACACCCTGTCATCTAAATGATCATATGGAGCCACAGAACTGGCACATGATTAAAGAGGCTTAACTGCATTAAGGTCAAATCATGATGCATCCTTTCCTTTTTAACCCTACATCATACTACACAGCATTAATAACACTCTTAGGTGACAGTTGACTTTTTTCTGACATCAGGGTCGATTTAAGTAATATTAAAAAACCTGCTTGAACCCAGAATATTATGTGACAAAGGTCCTGGAACACCAGGACCCTTTAGACAGGCTTTGCATGATGTAAGTTTCATGGTGAAAGCACAATGCAGTACAGAACTATGCTGTGGTTAACTGAGGAAGTTTTACACATGAAAGCACTTGCAATTTCCTAAATGGGATGAAAAATACTAAAGCCAGACGCCTGCCCAGGAAAAGGACCGGTTGCTTCTTAATCGGGACCCAGAACTCCAGTAAACACTGGGCATAGTGTTTTCAAGACATCCTATTGAGCCGATGGGATTTTACCAGTATGGGTTAGCTCGTTAGCATCTTTCCTGCGATGAGGGGCCCACCCACTGCGTCTGAAGCGAGCACCATGAAGAGCTCACATAGCGTTTTATTCATCTGGTGGCGAGCCAGTGCTGCTGACAGATGCATTCTGTGTTCATTACAGCGCAGCGTACCACCAAACCGCATCCATTTGGGACTAAAGACTTGAATGAAGTGAAGAATTTGTTTGGAGAAAAGGTGTGCTTGGGTAGCACCTAGTTGTAACGTTTAGCATTTAACTTATCCATAACCCGTTTTTGCCTGTATTGGCTTCACTTCCACAGGAGGGAAAAACTAGATCAAATCCAACAGGTTTAAACAGATTCTCCATTGTTTGTTAGTACTAACAAAAAGTTTAATTTTAGGCAGAATACATGAAATAAATGTTCAATGTTATGGGTTTCAGGACCACCACCCTAAAGAGGGAGGGGTTTGCATCTATAACCCATTTCCATTATAGATAAGCTCTTGTAACAAGAGAACAACAAGAACTTAAACTTATCACACCAAACAAATACCAAAAACTACATGTAGTTTTCATTAAAAGTATTCAAACTCCAAGGAGTATTTTCAAAATGTTGTCACTACCAACAAACTTTAATGCAGCTTACATGACATTTATGTAAAAAAAAAAAAAAAAAAAAAAAAAATAATTGTGAAGTAGAAGAAAGAATGTATCTGCTTTATGCATTATTTTCAAAAGGAAATGTGTAAACGTGATTTTTGCACAAATGCTCAAAATCTGAAAGGAGCGTCATTCAGACTGAGGGTTACAGGGTTTCTAAATAGGCATTTCCCAGCTTCCATTGGAAATGATATAGAAAGTTCAGTGTTTTTTTTTGTTTTTTTTTTACAGCTTATGAACATGCTGTCTGTATGATCTGGCTGTATGTTCTAGTCTGGAAGGTGAACCGTCACTCCAGTTTTAATGCTTTTTGAGCTTCATAAAAGAGTTTTCTTTCAGGATTGCCCTACATCAATCAATCAATCTCTTTATTTAGACACAATTATGGTCCATAAACAGACAAAAACAAGAACAATAATAAAAAGAGAAAAATATAAAAATATATATATATAAAATAATCAGTCACTATATATAGCTCCATCCAGTATTTACTATGGCACTTCCACCAACATGTTTCATGGTGGAGAATTGGGTTTCCACCACACATCATCTTTTTCATGTATGTTAAAAAGCTAAATTTAAGCAGATCGCATTTTGAGCCATCCTCTTGGGGAGCATTGGGCAATCAGGGTTTAAGGGTTTTGGTGAGGAACCCAGAGTGGAGGCTGCAGGGACCAGACCAGGTATTTGCAACCTGCTCAGAGCATTAGCAGGTGCCCAAACCACTATGCCAACACTCTGCATCTTCTTCAGAGTGTTTCCTGTATACAGAATCCCTGATGTTTGCGTATTGACATTTTCAGGTGATAATTTTTACTCTGACATGAGCAATTTTTAAAGCTTGAGATTTTTTTTATAACCAAGTAGCATTTTAAATCTCTCTATAAGTTTGTGATTATTTGGTCTTTATGATGCTCTGAGTTCATTAATATTCTCCAACAAACCTTTGAGGCCTTCAGAAAGCATCTATATATTTACTGAGAATCTACGTGATCCATATTGATTTTTATTGATTTGTAATAAAGGGGCTCATTTGAGCAACTAGATAACTGTGTGTTATGTTCTTTATAGCTTTTAAATTGGTGAAAACGTAAGAGATTTTTATTTCTCTAAGAACATAAGACAGTGCAATTATAAATATACCTTATTCAAATCATTTTCATCTATACTCCTTCCCACATAAAGCCTTATCTGTAATTTCACTAATAAAACTGAGCTTTATTTACATTTTTAAGTTAAGCTTTCACAGGAAAACAAACAACAAACCAATAAATTAAACATTCCAATGAAGAAATATTTTTGGAAATATGTAAAGAAAAAGGTTAAAAATAGATATATACAAGCACTCAATTGAATTTGTTGTTTTGACCTCATCAAACGGTTAAACCTGGCTTTTATATCGTCCTTTAAGAGTCGCCGTTTCTCAAACAAAACGGTTCTGTTTGAACCCAATAAAAGCTGAAAGAGATAAGGAGAATGCATGGAGAATATGTACCTGAATGCAGCTAGGTATTCAGCATCACCCATTGGGGGGTCCAGACCACCATTCCATCCCACATTGACATTGAAGCCCTTCCCTGCACCTACACCGACCTGCATCAAATCAAAGCAGAAAAAAACAGTGAGAGAGAGAGAAGAAAAAAAAAAAAAAACTAAGAAATTTAAGAAAAACAAACAACTCTTAGTGAAAGTTGAGAAATTCCATGACGATGACAGATTTGTGTCAAAACGTTTGCAAAAATCAACATTGCTGTTGCAAAACTTTGTATTGTAGCAACAGCGGGGAAGGCGCTGCATCTCTTTAAGGCAACACCAGGGAGTGATTATGATTCCTAAATCAAATACGGATGGCTGTTAATTCAACACCCCCGTCCCTCTATCCTGATTTCTATACAATTTGTCAATAGACCTTTATAAATCACTGAGCCAGAACAGAGCTACAGCGTTTATAGTTCCCAAGCTTTAGTTTTAAGTGAACTAACTATTGACTGATCAACAAAAAGAAAAAATATATATATATATTCAAATGGGTGAAAATAAACTTTAAACCTTCTTCCTGAACTAAAAGGTTAAAAACTGCAAATATTAAGGTAAAAATGTAATCCTTTTTAACACAATGAGCTTTTCATGTTTTAAATGCGACGGATGTAAAATGCCAGGTGGAGTAGATGGAGTTTTTCTCAGGTTGACCTCGCATATTGAGGGCAGAAAGTCAACGCAGGCCTGGATCTTGGAAAGAAGTTACAGATTCCTGTCTCTCTCTCTCTTTGTAGTCCTTCTAGAAGCCATTTAGCTGTTCCCAAAACCCTTCACCATCAGTCAATGTGTCAGTTTGAGGAGAAATGGAGGAGGTTGATTGACACCCTCTTGGCAATAATGTGTGGTAATTTCCTTTGTGTGTGTGTGTGTGTGTGTGTGTGTGAGAAAGAGAGTGAGATTATGGGTGTGAGAGGATGCTTGAAACTGAAAGAATGCTGATGAGCGTCTGTCTCCGTTCTTCTCTCAGTGGACGGGATGTTCGCAGGGCAAACCAAAAACACATGAAGCCTCCTGGCCTCTGCCAACTGTTAATGTACCCGCATGCATGCGCTTGTGCACACGATTCGGATACACAAGCACACTCACGTAAACCAAACATACCATTTTCTGCCATAGCTCCAAGTGCCTTGCACTCTTCTTTGTCTTCTGTCTCCCTTTCATCTTCCAGGACTCACTGGACCGAATTAGACCTTAACTGTTTCTTTTTTTTCGAGGAGCTATTCTGTGCTCTCTGTTATGACGATGACATCACACCCCTACCCCATGGTGAGATATATACCTACACGGGGGACAGATAGACTCCAGAGGTTTACCACACTGCTCAACAGAGGTTGAGAGTCCACCTCAGGCAAAGCCACATCCAAGCCAACAAAGCATTTTTATGTGCCGCTCCTCGGGAGATTTTATGGGAAAACACTGAGTATTATTGTGGGGGAGGATGGCAGAGTGAATGTCAGCATGGGATCAGGTCAATTCAGCTGACTGGGATATTCATTACACTTGGTTTTTTGGGTAAGACCACAGGAAGAAATCATAAGCATCTCGATTTCTTGCATCAAACAGACATACAATTCATTTCCATACATCCTGCTGAGAGGGGCCGACCTTTAAGTCCTTAAAACTTTACAACTAGAGTTATGAAAGTAAACAAATGTGCAGCAGTTACCGAAACATACAATAAAACATCTTCAAGGCACGTTCTCTGGATTAACACGCCTTAGGATTTTGTCTTAACTAAGTTGTCACACAAACAAAGGTGATGCATTACATGCAGTGGGCAAAAGAACACTACCATACTTTAAGCTTGGTTTTAAAATATTCACACTGAAGGGGTATGACAGGAACAGATGTTTGAAAAGGGACCATCCAAAATGACAACCACTTGTTAAGAGATAAAATCCTGCATCTAAATATAAACAAATTTAGTCCAAAACTGATTGAGGAGTCATCCATTAAAGTTTGGCATGTTTGGTGAGGTACTAACTAAAACCAGTCATTAATTAGGTTTTTACTTTAACTTCCTTTAAGGGGAAACACTTTTTTTTTTTTCACATTAGCCCCTTGATTTTACGTTATTATATCATGTTCTACTCACCCATATTAGTTTTGTGTCATTTGTTTTTTTTTCCGAAGATATTCGGTTTTGTTATCCAAGTAACGTCTTCCTATGGGCAAACGACTTGAAGGCACAAACTAAACTGTTCATAATTTATTCTTTATAGTACGCCAGCATTCATAACATGTAGGCGAATCACGTCCCCCAGACATCCGTGTTTATAATTTTTATATTTATATCTTTTAAACACGAAGCGCCGCATGTATGACGTCATCCGCACACGCCGGCTACCGTTCATTCTTCCTGTCCTTTGAACTGCTGCTAGTTTTACTCACATGCCTGGAAGATTTCTAGTGCTGCTACCACAGATGATCTCGCTCTCCAAATGGAATTGAACGATTCAGATTAGCTAGCCGAATGAATAGAAGGGGTAGAGCGTAGCCACCTGTGTGCTGGGCTGCCTGTCACAAATGCAGTCCGGCGCGCGGATGAAGTCATACACACACCGCTTTTTTTTAAAAAAATATAAATATAAAAAATATACCCGCGGATGTCTGGGGGAAAGTGATTTGCCTACATGTTATGAATGCTGGAGTACCATAAAGAATAAATTATGAACAGTTTAGTTTGTGCCTTCAACTGGATTACAAAACCGAATATCTTCGGAACAGCTCCAAATGACACAAAACTAATACAGTATGGGTGAATGCAACATGATGTAATAATATAAAATCAAGGGGCCAGTGTAAAAGAAACGGGTTTCCCCTTTAAGTATTGCAGCTTTATTGTCCCTGATAAGTACAACTGTAACTTAAGTCTAACTGAAGTCAAGCATATACAAAATAAACATAAAAGTACTTACAGCGCTTGAATATTTTCAAGTCGCATCACTAGCACTGGTTTTATGTGATGGATGAAAACAAAGTGCGTAAATGTCAAGTGGAAGGAATTTTTTCAAAAACAAAAACATGAAAAATGATTATGTATTTCTCTACAGTCCTTTTTGTCCTGTTATCCCCCAGCAAGAAATCAAGTGCAATTGGCTATTTCCAGTACATACTTAATTGGGACCCTTTTTTTATTTTAATCTCAGCATTTCACAGCTGTTCTGTGAATATCTGAGGTTTTTTAGAACATATATCTGAATGAGCTGCATTGCAAATACATTTTAGAAAGAAACTTTGAATGAGTTCTCTTTGGGAAGTGGCAGCCTCATGCTAGGGGTACAGCAGAGACTGCAAAATACGTACCTCAGGGAAGAGACTCATCTTCCATTAGGAAAAGAGCAATTTTAAGATATTCTTTATGTTATGTCAGGGTTCCTACAGCATAAGGCAAGTTAAATTAAAGACTTTTTAAGAGTTTTTAATGCCACTTGAAATAAAAATTTAAGTCTAAATTCACAAGAAACACAAGAAAAATCTGCTTGCGACAACTTAACCCAAAGGTTTTTTTTAACATAAACCACTGCACTAATGTTTCATATTTTGAAAAACTTTCCATTCAGGAAGAAAGATAAAAACAAACAAATAACAGATATATTTTAACAATTATTTAACTGAATTCACAAACTTTGTTTTAGCAGGGAACAAAACAAATCAGTTTTAAAGCCACAACATAACCAGTGCTAAGTCTTTTTTGCAGCTATTTTTCTTTGTATCGTTTTCTTAGTATGTTTGATTTGGTGATAAGTGGAGGCGTTGCAGTGACAAGGGTGGAACAAAACTGAGAAATACCGGCTGTTTCTCGGTAACTCGATTTTGACGCTTTGTGTTTCGTGGTTCGCATGTGACTCCACTGCCTTAATTCTCATCGTTCTGAGCTTGAATGATTTCTTGCACAATACAAAGTACTGGTTTTAGCCATGTAAAAAACATTCTTGGCTGGATAGACAATTTTCGTTACATTTACACTTGCTCATATTTTCCAGACAAAAAGTAAATGGCGCATCTCCCAAATGTCACGCCCTCAGCAACGCTTTTATTGGGTCCGCTATCGAGACGGAACCAATAATGGCGAGCTGTTATTTTTTTTTTTTATTTAAAAAATTGCCAATTTTAACGTTTTATTTAGATTACAAAAATAAATCATAATAAAAATAATCCTATTTATGATGGTTTAAAAATTAAGACCTACGAAAGACTAATTTAAGACATTTTAATACCAATTAAGGCCTTAGTTTTATCATGAAGAATTCAATGCCTTTTAAGACTTTTTATGGACCCGCGGGAACCCTGTATGTACTAGAATATAAAACTGGGTCTGTAAATATGTCAAACACATGCCCCAAAAGACCCTAGTCATTTCAATAAATTTTGGTTTTACAAAGCATTAACTCAAGCTGGTTGGGGAGCAGATTCCAAATGCAAGTCATGTTTTGGATTTTTTAAACCATGTTTTGAAAAGGATTTTTCATTGTTTTTGTCGATGATCTACCAGATAAAATCTTCATAAAATATAGGAAAAATGCTGAAGGTAATGATACTTTTTGGCACAGGTCAGGTTTCACTGATAAATCCTGTTGAACCAAAATCACAAACAATCTGGAGAGATAAAATAAAACAAATATGCAAATGCTTTGCAAGTACCTCATTTGGACTCCCGCTACCAGGAAAGAAGTTCCCGTCATCATAGCGATGCAGAGAGATATACAAAACGCTTGGGTCATCATAGAAGACCTCTTGGGTGCCGTTGCCATGGTGCACATCCTGGACAGTAAGATGGAGTCATTATTGGATGGAAGTAAATAAAACATTATAAAAACTAATTCGGATTGTAAAAGTAACCTGAAAGGAGTGAATACAGTTTGTAACACTTGATTAACTTTTCACATCAATGAAAAATGTGTTTATTCTCTTTTACCTTCTTTAAGATATTAATAACTAATTTCATTTAAAAATATACTGGAGAGTATGGCCTCAGTAAAGATACTGCATAGATTCAAGTACACACATGTTGACCAGAGACACCGGCTGGCTGCGGATCAATACAGGCATATGTATGGCTCTGTGAACTTTAATGTGTCTGTGTGTGATTTGGAGTTCAGGCTAAGCACATGTGACAGTTAGGCTCCCACAAGGATGACAGAAATCACTTTCTTAATGATCTAAATTATGATTAGGAGTGCTACTGTTGGCCTGGGTTTTTTTGCACCCAGGAAACTTTTTTTTTATTGTGCCCACGAAGAGAAGGGTGATAGCGGCGGCTCTTTTGGTGCTTACCCAGTCTACGATGAGGATCTTGCTGACGTTGAGTTTGTTTTGAAGCTGCTTGGCTGCGATGGCCACGGAGTTGAAGTAGCAGAAGCCCCTGTGGACAAACAAGCAGGAAGAGTGGCAGCCACATGTGTTTATCGTTGCATCGTCAACAAATTAATTTCACAACATCGCCATACGGTCCGAAAGAACCGGTACGACAGTTCTTTGGCTTGGTAAGGTGCTTCTTGAGGCCATGACAGCTGCAGCGTTTGCTCCTGCCGCGTTAACTTATATCTCACATTATTTGGGAAACAAGTTTGTTTTAGCTTGTTCTATATCTGCTTTTTCTCAGCTGACAAATCAAAAATAGCTTATTTAATTAAAATATTATGCCAAGTCTACATTTTTCACTGCTGAGAATTGCAGAGGCCACATGTTTTATGACAAACTGAAAGCGAAGCCTATCAAGAAATTTAATACGCTTTTGAAATGATAATGCTGTCAGAAATCTGGCGGGATGTGAGGGATGATTTCGGAGAAATGAACTCAGACCACTCACTAACACTGGCTGTCTCCAACAAAGGTATGCAAAGAAAGTGTTGATGCGTGGAAAACAATGGAGGAATGTTAGAAAAGGCAGTGTCAGCATTGGGCTGTAAACTGTGACTGCCTAAATGTATGTATGTGTGTGTGTGAGTATGAACAATGTACATTATAGGCAGTCCAAACTAAGCTCATCAAGAAAGTCATTACCACGCCATAAATAACTAGTGACAAGCACTGCTGAGCTCACACAGTCAGGCCCAGCTGAATGTGGTTATTTGGCTAATGCCTGCTATCAAAGAGTGACACAAATCAATGCACACAAATATGCACATCCACACATATCCACACACAGCACATGTGCAGGGTGCATGGACACATGGCGGTTACACGTCTTCCTTTGAGGTGCGTTGCTTTGTGTCTTGGAAGCGTTAAAGAAAAAGTGGAGGAGGGAAATCGCCCCGGGCATCAGGCAGGTAGTACGCACACCACGCATACATTAACACAGACTGAGGCACCCGCTCTCTCCTTTTCTCCTTCAGAGGTATAATGTTGCTGATTTATAAAAGACTCTCTGCAGCCCCCCTTAGCCTTGTTTGTGTGTATGTGTGTTTATGCTCCTGTACTTACAGCGGTGAGGAACGAGTAGCATGATGTCCAGGGGGCCTCACCACCGCAAAACCATTCTGAGAGATATTGGAAAACAAACCAACTTGTTGAAACAACTTATTACTACATAAAGAAATTCTAAACTTTGGCTTTTTAGATCTATTTAAATGATGGATGATAAACTTAGAAGTGAAAATCATCTTTTGACTGAGCCATGAAGGGCAGACAGTAAACATACGGAGGTAAAAAGGCTCTCTGGTCGAATAAGATAAGAAAATACTGCAAACTGGAAAACAAACTCAGGGCAAATTGTTGAAACAACTAATTACTACATAAAGAAATGCAAAACTTTGGCTTTTTAGATCTATTTAAATGATGGATGATAAACTGGTGAAAATCAACTTCTGACTGAAGTGTAACTCCTCTAAAAACTAATTCAAAAAGTAGAGATATCTATATCGATCTAATAATACTGATAGGATAATCAAAAATATTTAAATTGGCCAAAATGTTAAATTTTTTCCTAAATATGCATTGGGTGACTCAGTATGCAGAGGTTTGCTCTTTTTTTTTCTTTCTCTGTCCAACCTCTTTATTTTCAAATTATTAATCAATAAAGGCCAGTAGCTTAAAAAAAATCTTTCAAAAACTTATTTTCTTTTCTTCTACCTAATAAGTTTCAAGATCGTAAACATCTTAGATATCTTCCACAGGATTCTAACAAAGGTTTATTGCGGTTTTGGCAAAATGCATTGTTTTTTTTTTTTTGTTTTGTTTTTTTAGATACAGCTTCTTCCTCATTATTATCAACTCCTGCCTGAAGCTAAGCATATATGGAGGCCTACCTTTAGCTCTCCCTGTGCCACCTTCAGGGCCAGGTCTATGATGCACCCTGCAGCTGTTTGAGAAGCAGCTGCTGTGTGCTGCTCATTCCAAACTGTATCAATGTCAACCTGTTGGAAAAACAATGGAAAACATGCATCATATATCAGATTTTATTCCCATTTGTATTCAAAAACATCAAAGAACTTCCTCCTTCCTGTGATTTTGAAGCCTTTTCTACATGATAAACTGAGCAGATTAATTGATAAGAAGCAACTGATCAAAAGCTTTTTAATTAGATCAAGTTTTTTGGTCATAGAAAAAAAATCTCTTTACTTTTAATCATATCTCATAAAAATAGCAACTTAAATAGCTGTCTAACAAAATTGTTGTTCACATTTAGAAGATTTAATGATAAGATTATTTTAATAATAAAATAAATGTTTTTGTTGCGTATTATTCTGTGTATCTATGGTATCCCAAACTTTCTAACCAATCTCTGCTGGCGGTCTGCTAAGCTGCTTGGGAAACACTGAAATCATAGGAATTTCTTTTTTTTACGAGGTTGGCCATCTTGTTCCAATCACCTCTCTTCACTCCAGCAGCTAAAGACCGGAAATCCAGGCACATCGGTGCTCTTATCAACTGCCACCCCTCCCCCTTCAGATATTTGCTTTGAGCATAGCATCATTGTATTTCTTCTCCATCCACTTCCTTTGTCCCCCTCAAAAAAACAACATATTTTCAGCACCTTACTTGTACATTTTCTTATGTTTTTTTACTCTCTCTCTGACCATTGTGGAAACTTGGATTTTTGAAGTTTTAAGGTTATCTCAGCCAAAAACAATAGCATGAGCAATTGGTAGTATCATTACCTAGATTGTGTAATGAGGCATAATAAGCCATGTAATGTTTGCTGTTCAGTAATGCAATTAGATAAGTGGAAATATTCCCACATGACTGGAGTTTTAAATCAGATCAGTGATTTGTGTGTCTTTGTATTGGTGTGTGTTTGCAGGACTCACCCCTATCCCACCACATGGTAAGATCACAAAAAGCGGTGGTCCTGCGGAGAAATAAATAACATTTAGTCGTTATGAACAGATCATAAACATCAATGATTCTTTTTGGGGGGATAGTGCAGCAGGAAGTAGTGCATTATTGTGAGGTGGGTTGAAAAGATAAAAACAAATTGAAACTGATTTTATTGACAGGGTTCCTTAAAAAACCTCATGAAGACAAAGGAACATTGCAGACAGATCTCGGATACAGCTCTAGAGAAGTTTAAAGCATGTTTAGGGTATAAAACAATATTCCAAGCTTTGAATAATTGACAAATTTAACAAATGAGAAAATCCCTCAGCTTGAAGCAACAATACGCGGATGTTTAATTGCACTGAGGCCAAAGAGGAAAAGTGTTCAGAGAAGCTGCAGGATGCTGATGCTCATTCTAACTGAGATCATTAGAGATCCACAGCTGTGAAATATAGTAGTGGTAGCCTCATGCTGAGCTGACCTACTGAAACAAGGAGTGTTGATCAAAGTTTGACTAGAAGGACAGCAGCACTAAGAACGAAACTTGTGAAAAGCCTCTTTCCCACCTAAAGCAGCGGGTTAACCCGGGTTTTTCAAACCGAGTCAATCCCGTAACAATCGGCATTTAGCTCCCCCAGCTGGGTGGCCTCTGTCCCTCCATTGAAGCATGTCCTTAGACACCATCATGCAGGGTTAGCGTTGATGAAGTCACCATTGCTATATGTGACTTTTTTTTTTTTACGGCACTAGTGGCTTTTTTTTTTATGGACAGAAGGCTGACAGGAAAGTGGGTATGAGAGAGATATGCGGGAAAGGACCACAGGCCGGATTCAAACCCGGGTGGCCCGCGTCGAGGACTAAGGCCTCCATATGTGGGTCGTGTGCGCTAACTACTGCACCACCAAAGCACGCCCCATCACCAGTGCTATAAAAATCAGGAAAGTAAACAATGGATAGCAACATGGAATGGTTGTAGAAAGTGAGCTTTATTGTTTAGCTCCTATTCTGTCCAAATCTCTCTCATCTGTTATCAGAGCTGCTCCATGTTTATCAAATACAAACAGAGTTGTTTCAGCTTGTTAGATCAGAAGCGACTGGTGTGCTGTGTTGACATCCCTACGCTGTGCTCAATGGTATCACATCAATTGGCAGGTCAATCTGGGTCTGGGGTTCCCACAGCATGCTGATAAGAGCCGAGGTGATTTTAACCAAGCCAAGTCATCTGAGTGAATTTTTCCCACTGCTATTACAACTTGATTGTTCCCGGGTGTAAACGGGTTTTTCGGCCAGTGGGAAAGGGGCTGGAAGTTCACCTTCTAGCAGAACAACTGTACATGCAGCAAAAGCCAGATCCTTCATATTCATGTGTTGGAATGGTCCAGTCAAAGCCCACACTAAAAGCTTTAAAAATAAGATTCAGAGACACTTTCCATTCAATCTGACTGAGCTCCAGCTTTTCTAGCTAGAATAAATAACCATAAATGTATATCTTTTGATGATCAAAGCTAATCGAAAGATACCATAATATTCTGCTTCATATTCAAGCAGTACTTTGCCATATATACGCAATATTTACCTTACATTAAAGTTTGTGGGTGTAATGGAAAAAAATGGGAACAAACTCAAAATATGCCACTTTTGCACTGCACAGCGAAAAAGAGTTATAGAAATAAAATCTTCTGAGCTATAAATGATCTTACCATTTATCCTGTTGTTGCCCAATATTAACAAATGGTTTTCTGAATGGATGGATAGAAGTTCTGCACGGGTGGCTTTTCTGCTGGGGATGGTCTTCAACACAGAAATAGAGGTTTTATAAATACACAAAACAGGCAGCTATTTCCTCTTCTTACATTATACAAATGGGCAAAGCTCCTACCTCACACTGGCTCTTAAGCCCTCTCTCTTGCAGTCTGGACCAGATGCTCTGGATCCTCCCAGCATGCTCGGGGTGGCAGCTGTTATCTCCACAAATACACTGATGTTTCTGCATCTGAACATCATAAACCAAACCTGGATAGGCACACACAAATAAACATGCTTTATGAACCAACATTTTCTACATTAATCACGCTCCAGTCCTTTAAAATACTTGAATAAAAACCATACCTGAATCAGCTTTTGACTCACCTGTTGTAAAACGTAGCTTGGCTTCTGTGGCAGGGCTGGACAGTGACAGAGACGGTATGACGGCGGCTGCATGTAAGGTAGGAGTCAGGGAGGTGGAGGGTGGTAGAGAACGGCTCCGGATCACAGGCGGGTGAGACTGGTGAGGCCACAGTATGGTAGGAACTCCCAGTGCATCTGGCTGGAAAGCTGGTCTGAGGATTACCTGCCTCTGATTTTTGCAGAAAAGTGTTTTAGGAAAAGATGAGGAAGTGATACACCATTAATATCAACGGGACATGGCAAAAACACATTGAGCAAACTAAATAAAACACCCCGATACCTCCAGCTGGTGAAATGAATCATAATATGGTCAATTTCATTTTACTTGTCCTCAACAGAACCTAATGAGGAAAAGTGTATCGCTGCTTGCATTGTTAAAGCAACAGTGCCCCCTATTGGTCAAACATTTTAAGGCTTCTTATTCCTTTTGAAGGGAAGCACATTTTAGGCTTGGACGACACACAGCAGGTTAATCAGTCTCCAGGTGTCTATATATGATAAATTGTTTAAGTGAAAAATGTACATTAACAGAACCTTTTAACTAATTTCCCCGCATCATTGGAAACAAAAAAAACCAACAACTCATTTTAAATGTGTGTATTTTTTTTTTTCCACATGAGCTGCCATAAATACCTGACTGATAGAATGTGATGTCTCATTCAAGCTGTCCCTAGAGGACGTGATGGACTCTGTCTCATATACTGAGTCTGTGCTGGCGGAGCTTTCTCTCCTGCGGTGGCCATCTTCACACAGTGATCCCATTTCAGAGCCGCACAGAGACCCTGTCCCAGAACCTGATGCTGATCCGGTCTCCTCTGGGTCCATGTCCTCAGAAGGAATCTGTGTCAGACGGCATTTCTCTATGAGTGTGACATTCAGCTAATTCAAAACACAACTTTTACACTATTTAACCCTCAAAATGTCTCTTTAAAATGGATAAAAAAAAAATTCAATAAAATATCAATCTGAAAAAAAGAAGAATAATGTCATATATTTCTGACAATACAATATGTCATATATAGCTAACAATCACACGTAGCCTCCTGGAAATAAATTAACTTTTTTAGTTCCCAAATAATTGCCATTGCTCCCCATTTTTCTTTACATTTTTTATGTTACATCGTAAAGGTATTTTATTTTATAGACTCCTAAAGTAGCTTATAACAAGTAAATTAATACTTTAAGGTGTGCAAACTGAACTTGTTGCCTGTCCTTTAACCTCAGCCACACTGGATTGAAAGCGTCTATTAAAAATATATTTTTTCTAATTCATTGAATGAATAAAGCCTAGACTTTGACTGATGCATTCCAACACATTAAGCTGATTGTTCATTATTTTATCTTTCTTCAAACACTAAAGTTGCAAGATAAGATTTGCATTCTGAATTTGATTTAGATCCTTATATGTAATTAAATAAATTGAATTAATATGGTGAATTATGGGTGCATTGTTTAAGCTGAATTATATTTTCAGGGTATCAAAATAAAGGGGATCGAATGCATATCATGCCAGAATGTTTAGACTTAAATGAAAAAAAAAAATACAGTGAACTTGAGAAAGTGTGAAATAAAAGAAAAGCTCAAGGGACAGAAATCGTTTTCAAAACTACTTCGTTTTTTTTATCTGATAGCTGAATGAAGCACACTAATGCTTCCGCCTTCCCATTCTCACCTTGCTCAGATGTGTAGCGAGCTTATACCGCTCTAATCCAGCCTTGTGGTATATCTGGGCGAGTTGCTGGTGGGTATGTGAGTAATGGGCTGCATGCAGGGGCAAGACTGAGTGGCTGTAAGGAAGTGGCTCTGAATGTGCTCGTTCCACAGGTCGGTGGGAACCCAAAGCAACCAGGCCTTCTCTTCTGGATGGACAGGAGAGGTGAGGATGCTGTTGCTGAGGAAAGGTACTCAAACCAGGAACTGAAAACAAGAAGAGAGAAAAAAAAGACAAAGGTGAAAGTAGCAATTTTAAGGGGATTGTTGGGTATGGATATACTAAAGGTACAATAATAACAGAAAGATTTGCCAAACAAACAAACAAACAAACAAACAGAAAAAAGGAGAATACAGTTCTAAACAAAAACAGCTTGTAAGGGAAATTGTCAAGACAGGACAGTTTGACAAAACATGATACTGCAATACCACATTAATGATTTTTTCCATCACTAATTTCAAGCCAGTAGATGGCGCTCTTGTATTTAAAAGAAACAGGACAAGACAGATGTGCCAGTCTACTGCAGTCTCAGATTGGAAATGAAAACTACTCCGGAAGACTTTTAGCACATGTATTACTAAACGTCTAGAAAGTTCATATCCTCTAATCACATAAAAATAAAAACTTTAAAACGAAATTAGATAAATTCATGAAGGATTTAAATAATAAAAAGAGAAATCAGGTGAAATCTTATAACACTGTAAATAAAACCCCTACTTGCAAAACCTGAATGGATACAGTAATGCCTGTGTGTCTTGTAACTCCTTCAAAGCATCCACGGATACAAAGATCACCATGGCTTATTGGCAGCTCAAGCTCACCATTAAAACTCATGGGCTACATGTCCCGTAGGAATATATCCCAAGTTTTGCTTGCAAAAATCAGTAGAGCTCTCTGCTCTCTTCAGTATGCTTTTCTTTCATGCTGCTCTTTTTCAAGCTTTAGCAGTTACCCACTACTTCCAGGATGCAAATATGTGGTTTACAACAAATGCTTTCAACATAAAATTCCAGTTTGACCTTCTTACATCTAAATAAATATATTTATAAATGAACAAATGTGATTAAATAAATGTCAGCAGTTACACTTCTGCATCTGCATGCTGTGCTCTATGTATACAGATGTACTTTAGAAACAGTGAGACTCACGAGGAACTAGCTGGGGCCGCATCAGCCTCATGTGTGGTTCAATCACGATGAAGCGCTGAGATACAGCTGGGCCGCTTCCCTGCAAAGGTAGGATGACAGATTGCAGATCTGATACAGTCACTTGTTTTGCTATTTCAGTCTGTTGGGTAAGAGAATTAAAAACTTAGAAATGCTTTAGCAGTGCAAGCAGTTACATGTTCATTATGGTTGCAGTTTTACGCAGTTTAGCAGAGTGGCTGATGAGAGGAAACACCAAGGGTTTAATGGTCTGGGAGACTACTTGACGTGTATATTTCACTGTCACCAAAAGGTCAGGCGGAAAGTGAAAGCCATTTGGTTCACATGCATCAACCTTAGAGAAACTAATAAGAAACCAGTGATAATATTGTGTTTATTTCTACTGTATCTGATCACAGCAGAAGGAAACAAATGCCCCTCAAACTTGTCATGCTGTTGTAACATGTGTGAAGTAGCCGAGTGAGGATAGACCGGCTACACTGTGAACTCACTGTTATTTGTTTGAATGTCACAAGAAGCACAAAGTAGCAGGTAATTATGAAGTCAGTGTGTTTAAATGATTTAATTATGTTGATTTGATAGCATGTAGGAACAATTTAAAAGTCCTACCACAGATTGCGAACTTCATTTAGGTCTTGACTTTTTGTCATAATAACATAAAAATGCTTTCAACTAAAAGATTTAATAGTAGTGCTGGCTTTATGTTTAAAGTGACTGTCCTGGAGGATGGTGAGTCTTATCAGAATGGAGCAACTACTTCCACGGGCTCGCTGTGGTCTTAAGGATGCTTTTTTCTCACTAATGTGAAATATTACACTGGTGAAATGATTATGTAAATAAAGAGGAGCTGGTTGTCTTATATTTAAATCAGATGGGCACCAGATTAAAAGAGACTAAAAACAACACTTTTAGATTTTCAATGACTCTGTTGCTCTTTCACTTAAAACAATCTGACACAAAGTTCAGGTAAATTGTTGATGGTTTTGTAATCCTGAACACTGAAGGAATACAAATATTTTTGTTTGCTCACCTGTGCAGGAAGTCCAGCAGTGATGTTGTGCATAGCAGCGTGGTTGTTAGACAGAGCAAAGTGTGCCAAATTATTGTTCTTCATCAGCACCCTCTTTGACTGAAAAAGCAGAAGTCTTAATTATTGAGTCTGATAATAATCCCTTTCCCACCTAAATTCTACACAGATCCCACAACTTCATCTCTCTCACATTCAAGCAGCTGGAAAAGAAACATAATTGCATCACTTGAAAAAAACAAAACAAAAAAACATGGCTACAATATAAGGCAACAGTCCCCACATTGTGAACATATTTCACTGACACTGTTTTCTCACTGGTTGAGAAAGGAGTTGTGTCAAAAAGCTCAGTCAGATAAAATGTAATAAGATTTCACAAAGGCCTCAAAGGAAATGTGTTGTACAATGAGTCATCATGTTTTCTTAGTTCTCTCTATCAGAAGCAAACCTGCTGAGTTCAACAAATAATGAATTATTATTTTTTCAAGTTCAGATTTTTTCATTCATAAACTAGAGTAGATACAAAGAAAAACACGCCTCTAAAGCTTCAGAAAATAACAGCTTTCCTCTATAATTAATGTGATCAAGTAACTGATGCGGCGGCATTTTTGATATTTAAATGAAATCAAGTACATTTTTAGTTGTTGACTTATAAAGGAAAAAAACACAACCCTATCTGAAACATAAAAAAGTGGCTTCACCTCAGGAGCCCTTGGCAGGGAGCCGTTGTCTGACATGAGGCTTTCGTTTGGTGAGCTACAGCCTGATGCTGACGTGCTGCTGCTGCTTGGAGAGGAGTCTGGATGACAGAATAAAGGGAAAAAAAAACAAAACACATTACTATCCACATTAAAATATAAACTTACAATAAAAGAGAAAATCTGTGTAAAACAGGACTTTTTCTCCAAGGAGTGAAATAAAAACTGAACATTCATTTAATTATTCTAAGAGCCTGAGAAGAGAAACAGGCCCACAGCACCCCAGGTCCTCCACCATACTTCACGGTTTATTATGATGTTATTTTCCAACTCCTAATCCTAACATTTAGAGGAAACACATTTGATCCCAGTTCCAGTTTGATTACATTGGAGTTGAGCAAATGCTACATGGAAATGTTCATCACTCTAAACCAACTGTTGGGCATCAAGGGATGATGCTGTTTAACTCTCTGCTGTAGTTAAAGCAGTGAGCTTTGAGACTTTTGGACCCCTGTAACAATTGTGCAGCTGTGCAGAATGCTAAGGTATATATGTGTCTTCGTCCAGCCTAGTGACCAGGAACTAAATTAAAGGTAAATCAACACGAATGTATCAGGAAGTCATAGATTAGAACTAGAAATCACTGAAATCTCCGTTCAATTTGAAAATGAACATCAAGACGATTTATCTTCAATTAATCTTTTAGTGTAAAGACAACTGCTTTCTGAAATTGATAAAAAAAAAAATTCCTGCACTGAAAAAAAATGTCATTAAACATCATCAAATATTTTTACTGTGTTATTATGCTGATGGTCAAGCTCAAGGGATTTTTACATGTTTTTGGTAGGGTTCCAAATAAATGTTGCTGGCGGCGTAGATAAACATGATAAACCAAAGACAGAGCAACCAAAGAAATGTGTAAGATTAAAAGAACAAAAGGCTAAGCTAAAGGGAGGTAAACTTGAACGTTCGTACCCATAGGTTCTGTCCTATGTTTGACAGCCGGAGGGGCGCTGATCTTTCGTTGCAGTGGGTTAGGCCTCGCAGAGATCAGTTTCTTCAACTTCCACTTCAGTGTGGGCTCAGAAACTGTACAAATACATACACACAAGGGTAAAACAACAGCGACAGAATCAAGATCAAGGGAACTGTTCAAATACTTCAGTGCTAGTGAATACTCAAAATCATCCATGTTTACTTTGGGCATTCTCCAATAAAACCAAACAAAGTAATCAATCAATAGCAGGCTTAGCTCAGATAAAAGCTATGTTTGTGTTGTCGGTGTGCCAACTAAAGCACGGGTGTGTGTGTCTCTGTTAAAGGTTTTAGGGCAACATAAAAAAAGAATGGTTAGTGTACTTTCAGAAATGTATGAAAAAGGAACCACTCCCACTTTAATTCATGCAGTGAAGAAGAAGAGCTCAGGACTCTCACACAGTTCATTTTACACATATTTTAGTTAAAGTTATATAACTGCTTTGTAACTCATTGTTGCCTCTGATATAATGACTGGTAAATTGCTTTCAGGCCCTGTGGCTCTGATGCTCAGCACTTAATCCATTCAAACTCAAAAACCACATAAACCTGTACTGATTCTCTCAGGCATTTTAACCTTCTTTGCCCAGAATATGTAGAAACTGAATTCATTAAGAGGAAGTTTATGGTATCATGCAGAAGCATTATTCCCTCAGAGTACAGATTCCACTGTGAGATGGAAAATCACAAGCTTCTTCTTCTCCAAAAAAAAAGTTTTAACCTGAGGGTAGCAACTACAGTCACCAACACAAACAGGAGTCTCACCTGTTCTTCGGAGGGAAAGGTCCTTACGCTGGTCAGAGGGTGTGGGTACATGCTTCAGGGACATGTCAGAGACTGGTGGCCTAGGCAACCTAAACAACATCAGATGCATAGCTTCAGTCACCGGCAGGTATGGAGAAACCATGTTTTTAAAACATACTGAATTCTACTGAACCTTTAGCATTTTGTCACTTTACACCAACTAATGCCAGTATATTTCAAAGGTTTTATTTAACAAAGTGACACTAGCTAGTGTATAATTTCCAATTGGGAGGAAACCAGTTGGAAAGTCCAGGCAGTAAAAACTAGAACCAAAGAATTAGGTGAGTGAATAACTTTACCTGCTGCACCTCCTCTGAGGTACATGCAGCATGTCTATAACAGAAACTGGGAATGGATAATCTGGACTTTAAAGTGCATCACTATATTTTGAGTTATTTATTTAAATACAATATTAAATGTGCTTAAAATCAACAATAAACCAACAGCAAAACCTAGAAGGAAGGAGTTTTTAAATAGATCTTGCTTATAATATCAGTAACATCAATAGTGCAAGTTAATATCTAAACAGAAATAACTGTATTTAGTCATATTTTTAAAGACATTTCTATATGTATTTATAAATACTACATAGTTTTTATTTTCTGGGGTTTGCTACCATGTCAAATTTAAAATTTTACAAAAAATTTCAAATCTGATTTTAAAAAAGGGATATAAGAACATTGGCATACAGTACGTCAACAGCCAACCCTTACTAACATTTTTGCACGTTCCTTTTGTTAGTTGTTTATTGACTTTTTAACAACACATTGAACATAAGAAAGAAGAAATAAAAGGATTACATTAATTTATAACAGCTCAGAATGAACAAAGTAGCAAACACCTATTCACAATGAAACTTTTGCCCAACTTGATCTCCACTCCCAAACACCTTCAGAGCATTTCTTTAATATTTAACTCTCCTCCGCTGTAGGGTGAAGATCATACTGGAAGTCCTTAAGTCTAAGGTCTTATGCAGCTTCTAACCTGGTTTCCTTGTGTATCTAACTTTATGAATCTCCCATGACTCTGATAAACGTTACTTTCCCCTTAGCTTTAAACTGCCATGATGTATTTCGAATCCTTTATTTTTAGTCACACACCGTGTTTTGCAATGTTTAAAAGTGTCAGGAGGTCAGACATCCAGGCTGTGTGACCATTTTAGTTTCTGATTCTAACAAGCTAACAGTTCTCAACTTGCTGCTCAAAGTCAGGGCTCTGGCTTTATAATATTTTCCCTCCATAGCATCAGGGGTTCCTAATGAGTCTATTTACTAATTAGTTAACTTCTTAAACAGCTCGGGAACTGACATGGGAAAGAAAATATACCTATTCATTCCCACAAAATACTACTTTGTGGCCAAGAAATACTAATTAGTTCTCCCTGGAGTTATTTTTGGACTTATTGGACTTATTAGCTGGACAATGAACTTATTTTTAGCCATAGCATAAGGGTGCTAAATACTAAAACATAATCTTCCTACAGGAACAAACGGATATGATAGACAAGGATAGTCGGATGCAGTTTTATTTTAGTAGTAGGAGAATCTATAGGGAGATTCTGATCAGCCTGGCTTTGAAAGGATTTCTCATTAATGAGGCGCTGAAATAATATATTGACAGCCAGGTTGGAATGATAATCTGACGTACCGATGTGTGGAAGACTGTGCTGTAAAATAACACCTGCTGCTGTCCAACTGGTGTTTGTCTTGAACATTTCACGTTTCAGCTTAAGTTACAATTGAAGGAGGACAGGATGCAAATATGTTTATGTGATTATGATCCCTATCTAGAGAAGATGCAGGCAGAGGAGAAAGAGAAGAGATAGGACCTTCTCTTTAAGAGGGAACAGCTTTAAAATGACAGGAAATAACTAATATGACCTGTTGCCTAAGATGACTTGGAGCCTTAAACACCACCGAATGATTTCTAGATCATTAAGTAGAGCTTTACGCACACAGGGCTTGTTTTGATGCATCATTATGCACAATCCAGTTATTTCTCAGTAGTTTTATATAGTCGTGCTTGTCTTAGTGTTAGAGTTTAAAACCTTTGCCTTTATCATCCTCAGCAGCAGCAATCTCTGGCTCTGACTTGACCGGAGATAATTTCCTCTGTTTCTAGGTTGTTCAGGAAGCATCAAAACGCATATTTGGAGATGGTGAACACAGACTGTGTGAGCAAATTCTTTGTTTGTGTTCTGAGCGGATGTATATAGACTCAATCCTGACCTGCCTTTAACCCACCACCAAAGGGCTCTAAAGGTGAAGCCTATAGGTCACCCTTTAAAGTTCTGGGCATCACGGGTTTCTATAGCTGAAAAAGGGAGATTTGGAAGTGGATTCTCTGGTACCAGGAGTCAGTGAAACCCTGACGGGCCAATCAGCAGGTGTTTGTCGTAAAATGTAGACAGTGCTGCGCTGCACCAAGGATGGATGTAGATGGGAAAATGTGTGACGTTAGACATGGAAAGATTGAATTATAAAAAGGGAGGTAAGGTTAAACTCCCAAATGCTTTTAACAAAGCAACACTGCTCTTATAAGGGCCACATAATGTACTCCATGCGCATGATTTAGTATTTCGTGGCAAAGAATAGGTATTTAGAAATACCTATTAGGGGGTTTAAAGTTTATTTGAAGTTTGTGGTTGCATGATGACAAAATGTTTACATTCAGGAACAGTGCAATGTATGTCATCTTGTCAGAAACATTTGATCAAACTTGAGAAGCAGAACTTTACAAATAATACTTTTAACAAGCATGGATGCCAGTCTCACCTGTATCCTTGAGGTGTGCTGCAGTAGTTGTCATGAATCCTGCTGGGAGAAGGCTGCTTCTTCATGATTATATGGTCCCGCAGGAGCTGCCTAACATGTTTGCTGGCTCCCGCACCTACCAAACAGAGAAACAAGTGTAGCGAGTTCTTATTTTTTTGGGACATTTAAAAATATATACCTCACATACAATTTTTAGCACTAAAAAAAAAACAATATGGGGTTTCGCAACGCAAAACGATTTGTTACTTCTGCCTTTTTCCTTTGATGGGATTGTGCAATTTTTTGTGTTGTTAATTTCTTTGAAATACTATCATATATGGCAGCGGTGGTGGAAATCCCCTTCATTGCAGAGAAAACACTGTAGACTGTGTGATGACTTAGATAAGCAGCCTGTCAATCTTAAAACCATTTATAAAGGATCTGAAGACGAAAGCACTCTACTCACTCTGCTCATTTTTATTCTTCTGCATCAGCTGCTGCGGGTCTTCTCTTTTCTCCCCCTCCATCTTTCTCTGCCTTTCTTCAGTGCTATACTGTGAAAACAAATAAAATCGTAAATGTTACCACAGGTTCAGCCTTTTAGGGTAATACATAACAGATTTACATAAAGGAGAGGTGACACGTTTGCACACCATTACAGTAGCAAAATGTAAACTCTGTTTACTGCTCAATCAGAAACGAGGAGGAAATGGCCTGTCGACATTTTGACCTGATTGCTGCTCATATCTGCTGAGTTTAAAGCCGAGGTACAGCCTGTGGTGAAAGCAGCTGCCTTCTTCCTGTGGTTAATGAGGGAGGAGGTCTTTCTGCATTAAACTGGGCTTTTTGCAATTTAAGATGTTAATATTGCTAAATAAAAAAAACAAAAAAACATATATATCATCCTCATCTTCTTGTTTCTGTAAAACAGAAATCCTGCGTTGTAATGTTTGATCGCTACACATATTCATCCGATCCCTTGTTTCACTCATGCTTGGAATCGCTGAGAGTTTTTCTTTACCAGCAAGTGGTTCTGGGAAAACTGAGGGCAATGCTGAGTGGCGAGGTGCTCCAAGTAGAAAGAAGGCTGTGGAGCCAGCATGGCCGAATCGGGGCGTTGAGGTAATAACCTGTGTGTCACAGTCAGATCCATGGGTTTGACCCCACGCACGGGCAGTCAGCTCTCACTGCTGAGGGTCACATCCACTATACAAGGGGACAAAAGAGAAATGATGAGCTGAGCTGAGACACTGGAAGAAGCTTTAGTTTAAGTCTTCAACTTTTAACAAATTTTCTACTGTATTTTAAATGTTAAAACTGTACATTTTCCAAGGAAAAAAAAGAATTACCTAAAAAATAAAACATGTCTTCAGAAAAAAAAAAAAAATGTCAAAATTAAAAACCACAAACAGGATGTATTTCAATTAATTTTAAGTGTGTCGATCAGCTTTGCACCTCCAGAGCTTGACCTTTTGAAAAAACTCAGTTTTATAAATTTGCTCTAAACTGAATGTAGCCTTAGTTATCTTCTACTTCAGCTTCCTTGTTCCTGCTGTGTCCCCCCCGCATCATGAAGCCACCACTGTGCTTTAAAGCTACAGTAGGGGCAGTGTTCAGTGTGATGTGTGGTTAGTTTTAAGACCCACATACTGCAGCAAAAGAATAAGAGACGTTGTTTCACCTGATGTGCATCTCCGCCCCCTGAGTCAGTCTGTTGTTGGTTTTTCTGAGCCTTTCAGTGTAAGCGCATGTTTACTTCCTGGAAGGTTAGGCATATTCTTTTCCACTTTTGGATGTTGCAATGAAGCCCACTTTAATCCTATCCAGAGCTTTCTGCTTTCTTTCCTCTAATGCGGAGGTCTTCAAGAGGGGGTCCGCAACCCCTTTTTTCATAATAAAAGAAAATAAAAGGACTTTCAACTTTGACCCCAACAGCTGTTCTTTTACCCTCTTTTATGTCCTTCGTATACTGGGAATAAATTACACCCCATTACTCAGTAATAAAGGGCTGCAGTCAAACATGTTTAATAACCAGAGTATCATTTATGTCTTGAGTTTGTCAACCACATTAAAAGTGTAACATAGAAATCTGTGGTTGTGACTTCGCACAAAAACACAACTTCTCAGGGCATGAATAATTTAGCACATATTTAGACATTTAAAGTTTGTCAGAAAAGCAACAATGTGTTATAGCTGTAAACAATCATGATAAGGATAGCAATCCTTTATTCTCAAACGCAGCTTTGCTCCGTTTCCATTGAGTTTTTTTCTAAAGACGCCTCTCCAAAGCTTTTTTCTCTGCATTTTCCTTTCAGGGAGAAAAATAAACAGCTTCTTGTTTTTAACAAAGGAGGTGCAAATGAGAGAAAACAAAAGAAATATGGGTTATAGGTTGGATGCTGGAGATTTGAGCTGTGTATATATATATTTTTTTTGTTTTAACCATTACAAAACACAACAAAAAAAAACTTTTTTTGCATCTTAACAAAACAAAAACACATTTTCTATATGTAGCACAGTAGTGCAAAGGTTGAATCTACAAACCTATAAATAAAAACCCTTTTTGGTGCAAGAACTCCAGCCGTGGCATTGGGGGACAAATATAATCTCATGGTCTGAGCTACAAAGACAGAACTGACCAGAGGGCTAATAATAGTAAGAAAAAGAAGCTAGAAAAAGTGAAACCTGGCAAAGGCCCATAATATGCAAACATACAGGTAATATAAAACCAACTGAAACCTAAAACTAAGAAATGTATAAAGGCATGTTCCCGTATTGATACAAAAGTGTAGATATGGTGCATTGAATGAAACACCTTGCTCCCCTTGGGGAACAGTGATGGAGAAAATGATGGAGCGAAGGCAAATATTACTGTCACCTAGCAAATTTTCTGTGATGAGATCAGAGCTGCTAAGGTCATCGCTGCTGTGTGATTCATTCTCAACAAAACCTTTCATTTCCTTTAGGAAAAAAAGAAATATTATTTAGATGTTATCAATTCTGGTGTCACCCTGCTGCAGCATAGAAAACACAGCTCTCATTGTTTTACAGTTACACAGACTGTGAAACAGAAATAAAGAAATGTGTTTGACGTCGACAAGAGAGTTCCCCTGAAAACAGAAAACACTCCCACGCAATTACTGAACATTGCATGGGACCGACACTCAGCGGTGAAAACAGGTGGACACTCAATAACAGCAGACTGATTTGCAAATCAAAAACACTTCGTAGAATTCAGAATGAAAGTTGGTCAACAGATTTGGCCTGACATCCAAAAATATGTTTGTATTTATACTGAGAAAGTAAAAGTGAAGCAGCATGTCTGTGTGAGAGCAAAAACATCAGAATTTTTGGAGCATCACATTACACAAACATATCAACCACAATTTCTAAGAAATGAATATAGAGTGAATTTAAATTTTCAGACTTTACAGTATTCAGTAATGTTGATTGTTTATTTTTTGCCTTAAATGTTTTTTTTTCTTTCCAACACCACAAAATAAAGATATGTCAGGAAGAACCAGTCACAGCAGCACAGTGTGAATTACCAGAAGAACGTCTTCTAAACGAAATCAAGCAATCAGTAGACAAGTGGTGGTGGAGGGGACTGAGATAGTATGCAAACACTTTCACATCCACAGAAACACACACAAGCAACAAACAATCATCCGCTTTGAAAGGAAATAATCTCAAAGTCAGAAAAGGAACACCTGCGGCATGTTTTTACAAAGAAAGAAACTACAACGGGTCTTTTTCTGTCCCGACTGTTAGAGAGTTCTATAAACTGTGAACAACGGGACAAACTGTGGATGTTGACTTTAAGGTGCATTGTATAAAAGTTGTGGGATTTCTGTAAAACAATTAGAGAATTGTTTGCAAAAGATTCAAGCTTTTGGTTGCACACATGGGGGAAAAAAAGCAGGGTGATTGACTGATTCAACTTGGAACTGAAATGATTTTCATGCATCAGAAACAGCAGCTTCTAACTATTTGAGGCATTAAAAAAAGACACCTAAATGAGATCTAAAATCATCCTTGGAAGAGTCTGTCAGAATAATGCTTACCAAACACCTGGAGTTTGGGCACTAATGATGTATCTGAGGGCAAAGTTTCACCGTGACTCATGACGTATGACTTGACACAAAACCAGCTTGGTCACTGCACTCCGCATTCAAAGAGCCAACTCGGCAGATAAGATTTCATCCTCATTCACCCTGAGGGATTTGAGGCACTCATGATTACTTCCTATCATATTACCAAGTGTTCTTCAAGAGAATTTCAACACTACTTTACAAGAGTATTTACTGTGGATTTGGCTTTTTCAAGTGTAACATCCATTTACCAGCTGAGCTCTAAAAATATAAGAATAAACATAACTGCAGGAAAATCTAGCAGAAATAAAGAAGAACAGGTTGATAAGATCTGCATGCTAGCTTTTCTGTCTCTCCTTTAAGCGTTGTCGAGCTAAAAATAGCAGGAGGCAAACTTCTGGTTTCTGTAATAGCATATTCGTTTCACACGATCATCCTCTTTCTGTGGGCCCAGCGCAGCAGCACATGAACACTAACGCACATGTGCACACGCACAACAAACACACAGGTTTAGAGTTCGCTGGTGTGTGCATGCACACCCAAGCAAAGACACACACTCACACAGAAACAGTGACTTCCTGTTTCTAAAGTTAGTCTGCACCATAACATCCTCTAGGTTCATTTAGGCAAGCAGAAGCTGCTATTTTGGTTGAATGGCCTCACTGCAGCTCGAGAGATTCACAGATGTTCTGTCAGCAGTAATTCTTTCGACGAGAAAACGTAAATATGGAGAGATTGTTTTCTGGCTGGAATACACAAAGAGTTAAGTTCAAGTTAAATATAGGATTAAGTGCTACCAGATGAAAACATCAATGTGTATTTTGAGGATGTTTTGCATTATTAGATCAACAAGAGAATATCTGTCATGTTGCACAAATACATGAAAACACAATCACACAAACACATGCATATATATATATATATATATATATATATATATATATATATATATATATATATATATATTTGTATAAAACCTTTAGTTTCACAATGTAAAGGCAGAGACAGAGATCTTTCATACTGCTGTGGACCATAACATGACAGTTACCTCACCGTGCTTGGCAGTATCCTCCCTGCAAACCCCCTTCCTTACGTTTATAGGAATCAACAGCTGCTGGGCACATTCTGTCCCTCTGCTTCCGAGCAGCTGGAGTATCAATCTCCTAATGTGTTCATCCTCCTGTGTGGGTCCATCCTATGCATCCAAAGATATTAATAGCCTGCAGTTGGTTCTTTTGAGCGTACACAGCAGGTCTTTGTGTTTGCATAAGCAGGGTCTGTTTGTGTGACAGTTGATGGTGCATTCGCATGCATTAGTGCATCAGTGCTGGTGCACGTGTATTAATAGTTGCCATTTGTTTCTTTTGAAGGAGCACTGAGGCCCTTTTGTGCAGATTTTAGTGCACGCAATCGGACCTATGTATTTTTAGCATCACCTGTCGACAAACACTGGAGTTATTGTGCACAACTATGCATGCACATGTGTTTCACAACAGTGAGTGTGTGGACTGCTGGCTCCCAACATATTAATAGCAACACATCACTTGTTTAGCAGAAGTCTTTAAGTTTATTATTAGTTTTCACAACTGCCAACAAATGCTTCTGTATTTGTGTACTCTGCATGTGCACATAGTACAACTTCAGCACAAGTGTAAATAACATGTAATGGGAAACAAGTTTCTCACAGTAAAGTATTTAACAGATTTCACTGAATGATGTTTCCTCTTTCCATAGAAATGCACATAGAAAGGCAACCTATAAACATCCTTAGTTTGTAGAAGTCGGAGTTGTGTGACGAAAAATGTTAAAGTAACCTGTGGCCCATACGACTGGCAGATTTCTGTTTGTTGTTTCCTGCTAGAAGCTTTATTAAGAACAAGCTAGGACAAGACATACTGCCCTGTCAGAAATTAGGCCTTAAAACTTCCTGGTAGATCCTACAGTCTGTTTCAAAGACTACAGGCAAAGCAAACAAAACTAATCTACTCTTCCTTCTGTCTCAAACTCCCGCTTTAAATCGATATGATTTCTGATTTATAGCCATAGGCTCTGCTGAAGCTTGTGCAGTAGCCTGACACGCCCTCATCCAAAACTGATAAAGAAACCGACTCCAAT